AAGGGGGCGGAGGTGGAGGATAAGGCGGAACGGGATGCGGAGGCGGATGCAGAGGAGGAGGGAGAGGAGGAGGAGGCGGAGGAGGAGGAGGAGGAGGAGGAGGTGGAGGACGATGAGGAACATGAGCAAGCTGATGATGCGGCTGCTGCTGCTGATGCTGATGTTGATGCTGATGTTGATGATGATGATGCTGATGATGACGATGATGATGATGCTGATGGTTATGATTCTGATTGTGGTTATGATGAGGATCATGCTGGTGGTGATGGTGATGCTGCTGATGCTGATGATAATGATGCTGCTGATGATGCTGATGATGAAGAATATTCGTATTCGTAGTGTCATTATTCGGATTATTACTGTTGTTGTTATTATTATGAGATTGCTGATGAGGATTGGATGATGATGCGGATGCCGATGCTGATGCTGCTGATGTTGAGGATGCTGCTGCTGATGATGATGGTGATGATGCTGATGATGCTGATGATGATGCTGATGCTGACGATGACGCTGATGATGCTACTGATGGTGCTGATGCTGATGCCGCTTGAGGACGCTGCGGCTGCTGATGCTGATGATGATGATGCCGGCGACAACTATGCTGATGGTGACCATGCTGCTGATGATGATGATGCCGATGCTGCTGATGATGCTGATGCGGATGCTGATGCTGATGATGATGATGATGATGATGATGATGATGATGATGATGATGATGATGGTTGTGGAAGTGGTGGTGGTGGTGGTGATGATGCTGCTGATAATGATGATGATGCTGACGCTGCTGATACTGTTGATGATTCTGCTGATGATGCTGTTGTTGTAAGTGTTGTTGTTGTTGCCCTCGTTTGTTTGTTTGTTTGTTTGTTTGTGTTGTTGCTGCTGTTCATGATGATGATGATGATGATGATGATGATGATGATGATGATGATGATGATGATGATGATGATGATGGTGATGGTGATGGTGATGATGATGATGATGATGATGATGATGATGATGATGATGATGATGGTGATGCTGAGGAGGAGGAGGAGGAGGAGGAGGAGGTGGAGGAAGAGGAGGAGGATGAGCACGAGGACGAGGATCAGGAGGAGGAGGAAACGAGTGGGGGGGAGGGGACGGGCGGAGAAGGAGGAGGAGGATGAGGAGGAGGCGGAGGAGTGGCAACTCCTCCTGAGTGGCTTCAGGCTGCTGGTTCTTTATCGGGTCTGCTTGCTGACTAGCTTTGGCAAATACTTCCGACGATTGGCGTACACGCGTTGCCACGGCTGGGGTAAGGCTGGCTGAATAATGGTTCACATTCATGCGTCTTCAGGTTGCGAAGAGCGGCCTTCGAACTTTCTCACTGGCAGCTCACACTCCATGGACGTATAATCCGTCCACTCGCCATCTGAATCCCGTCGATCAGAGCTGCTGCTTGCTGCTGTGCTTGGCCCAGCAGCTTCTCCGTGCCCGCCAACCTATGTTTTAGCTCGCCTTTTCTGAAGCCCGATGGTTTCTAATTTATTGTGATACAGTGCTTTCGGAGTATGGTACTTGTCTACCTGCTTCTACGATCGTTCCATTCTCTGACTCTAGGCCTTGGGATGTTGGGGACCCGACTTGCACTTGTCCCTCTGCTCCCTCGAGGCTCCGTGCACATCATCCAATAGTTGGAGCATCCGTCATCTTCGACAACCTATCTAGCGCTTTCTGCAGGAGCATGATGGGCGACAAACTGGATTTGTCCCGTCTGTTTGGGCCTTCATCTGGCTTTCCCTTGGAGGTTCCTGCGCCTAAACTACCTTTTCCTGACCTGCCATTGCCATCCTGCCCTTGCGCACGAGGTGGGGGGCAGGGGATCCTGTCTGCCAGTGTTGTCCACACTGCCCACACCTTGTCTGCTTGATATTGACCGTGATGCCACACGCGTCACACTGCCAAGCTTGGGCCGACATGTCAACATCAAACAATGGATCGAGATACAGGATGCGGTGGTGGTCCTGGAATCCGGCACCCCTTGGATCCTTTCTCTCCTTAGTTGTTCTTGCCTCCCTTCCCCATCGAAGAAGAGTGATGCTCAAGAGTTCTGCTCGATGCTTCAAAACGCACGAAGTATCAATATGTCAGCTGCTCTACGTGATCTTTCCATGCGGCGCCATGTGGCCTTCCGCACAGTAGGAAGAAGGACAGCACGTAAGGGCCCAGCTGGAACGGTTCAGTACCAGAGGTGTGATCCGCCTTAGCCCAACGCCCTTCCGCCTTCTCCAGCCTGTCCTCCTCCTCCTCCTCCTTCTCCTATCCGACTCCTATTCGTATTCCTCCTCCTGCTCCTCCTCTTTCTCCTCCTCCTGCCTGCTCCTCTCCCCGCCATCCTCTTCCTGCTCCTGCTGCTGATGCTGCTGCTGCTCCTCCTCGTCGTCCTTCTCCTCCTCCTCCTCCTCCTCCTCCTCCTCCTCCTCTTCCATTCTCCCTCCTAACGATGGCCGCGAAGAAGGGCAAGAAGAAGGGCACCAGCAGCAAGAGCAGCAGGACGTGGAGCAGCAAGTCCAAAAAGAACAAGACGAAGTACCGCCCGCAGGACCCCGTCTTCAACCGCATGGGTGGGATAGACGACGGGCACAACCAGGCGCCCAAGGGCGACGCCGACCTGGCCGGGATCCCCGAGCTCGAAGAAGAAAATACGGCACAACCATAAGCTAAGTTTTCAGAGCTCCGCGGCGATTTCTCAGATCTGCGCTGGGCCCACATGGCGGCAACTCCCGCACCGATCCAAGAAATCCGCGCGGCGCTCCGAGAGCTCATGCTTGAGCCGTTCCTTCTCCTTCCACGAGCCGCGGCACGCTGGAGGCGCGATGCTCCCGGGACAGCTCCAAGTCGCCCCCCCCCGGTCCCCCCGTGGGGCACGCGCGCGCCAGTGCTCCGAGCTGCGCCCAGCCGTGGTGACGAGGGCCCCCCTCCCGATGGGCCAGCGGCCTCGGCTGGCCCTCCGCCGCGAGGCGCGATGTTCCCCGGGCTGGCGATGGCGATGCTCCCGCCGGGCCTGCCCGCCGCCCCGGAGCTGCCGGCGGACGGCGCCCCTCGGAGCCGGGCGGCCCGAAGGACGCCGGGCTGGAGCCAAGCGCGTTTTTTTGCAGAGTTCCGGGAAGGTTTTCGTGCCGATTCCGTGTCGCAGCAAAGGCAGAGCGAAGACAGGACGAAGGAAAGCATGAACAATTTGGCATAGCTCGGACGGGTGCATCTTTCCTTCGGCGAGGACCAGCGAGGAGCATCCTTGATCATCTGGCGAAAAAGCCACGCACGAAACCGAAAAAAACAGGGAGTGGACGCCCGAGCGATGCCCAGCAAACTGGAAGCGAAGAGCACTGCTTGGCTCGAGCCCCGGAAGGAAGCAGAAGGGCGGCGGCGCGCGCCCCGCGGCCGCGGCGGAGGCGGGCGCGGGGAGCGCCGCGGGCGCGCCGCCCGGGGCCTCGCAGCGGGCGGAGGCGCTGCCCAAGCAGAGGCCCGGCGAGTCCGCTCGGGCGTACTCTGCGAGGCTGGGCAAGGCTCGGGGGCCGCGCCAGGGCTCGGGGGGAGTCTCACCCTGACCTTCCAGGGCTAGAAAAATGCACGAGACTTGAAAGCCTATCCCAGAGCTATGGTATGTCTTGGTTTTTGGCTGTTTCGTTTCGTGTTTTAGGTTTTTAGGCCTCCCGTGCCAAAAAATAGCTTTCTGGAAGGTCAGGGCAGGAGGGGAAGAACACACACAGACACCGTTCCTCGTCGCAGCGCAGCGCCCGATCGGCCCAGGGCCGGTCCTGAGACAGAGCATGGGGATGAGCATGCACGGCGACAGGGCCTTTGGAACGTCACCGGAGAACTTCGGGAAGCATCGCAACAGCGGCATATGCTGACAAACGTGACAAACGTGCCGGCGTAGCAACGCCGGGGTGAGGGAGGGAGGGGAGGGAGGGGAGGGAAAAAGAGAGAGGAAGCAACGGGGCGGTAGAGGGCCGCTCAGTCTGTCCATTTCTGCCTCGGCCTTCCACGCCGGCGGCGCGGAACGTGTTGCAGGAGTTGATCAGGGGTTCATCGTCGACTCCCAGGAAAAATATGGGAACATATGGGAAGTGGGGGGAAAACGAAAATATGCGAAATTACAAGGAATCCTGGGATTTGTATCTGTTTATTTGTGTGGCCCAGGGCCCCTTTAGAGGCGCCGGCGTCGGCGCCGGCCCTCTGCGGGCCTCCAGTCTCGGGATGTGGCAGCTGCGCCTCGCGAGGAGAGCGTTCTGGGGGTGGCCCGGATCGTCCCGAACGGCCGCCGGGGATACGAGGCATGGCCCAGAAGCCATCAGGGGATGGGCTTCGGGCGGGATGCATCGACCCCCCATCGCCCATGGATCGCCATTCCGGACCTGACGGCCCACCCCGCCCAGGAACGTGCGGATTCGCCATCGGGGGCCTGTTGCCGATCCCTCGCCGAGCCGATGCCGGTTCCAGGTTGATGCTCCTCCTCCCCCCGGAGCCAGTCCCCCCTCCCGACGTGGCCCTGCGCAGGCGGCCGAGAAGCAGCTGAAGGAGGCCAGGCGGAAGCTGAACACGGATCACCACCGGGAGAAGAAGAGGAAGCGGGCGCAGGACAAGAAGAAGGCCGCGGAGGAGAAGAGGCGCACGAGGGCGGGCGCGGGGGAACAGGAGGAGTCGCGCCAGCAGGCGCGGTTCGGCGACATCGTGCACAGGCCACCGATCATGAGTTCGGCGGCGCTGAAATCGCGCTCGTCGCTGAAGGCTCAGGCGAAAGTCCCAGAGGGCGCCCGGTCGGGCGGCGACCTCGGCGCCTACGCCGACAAGGTCCGCGAGGCGTACGCGGCGCTCAGGAAGCGGCGGCTCGGCGAGGGCTGAGGGCCGAGTTCCGCTTGCGGTCCACGCGGCGGATCCGCCGAGCAGGTCCGCGCCCGGCCCAGAGGCGTGTGTGTGGGGGCCTGCGCGCGGAAAACGCGCCCCTCCCGCTGGGGGGGGGCTGGGGTGAAGTCGGGCATGTCCCCCCAAAGGAGGAACATCCGAAAAAATGAAAAAATAGTCAGGGGACGATTTTTGTCGACTATTCTTGACGATTTTTTATTTTTCGTCCAAAATCCGCCTGTAGGGGGACGTGTCCGACCTAAGGCTGGGGTCGGGCGGGACCCGGGCAGGCATGGACGGATCGGTCGGAAGCGGTCGGGGGAGGATGGGGACGAAGACCAGCAGCAGTGCTTCGAGGAGGGAGTTCGTACACGACCACGACGACCACCGTCTGGAGGATCGATTTTCGCGGACCTCCGAAGGCGGTGGATATGGATACCTTTCTGCCCCCAGGGGCCAGCATATGTCCATACACACCGCCCGCTGGGTCCCCAGGACGTCGGTTCCCAGGCGGTGGATATGGATACCTCCCCGCTTCGCAAGCTCCTCTCCATTTGGAAGAGGATCTGCTGCCGGTGCCGCCGCGGACATGGCCCATTCGAGGCAGAGCGTCGCGTGCCCGGCAGCCGCCGCTGTGGGTTTTGGACGGCCCTGCAGCCGCCGCTGCAGCGACCTCCGAACAGTCGATCGGGGAGCAAGGAGGGAAGAGGAGGGGGGATGAGGAGGGGGGGAGGAGGAGGAGGAAGAGGAGGAGGAGGAGGAGGAGGAGGAGGAGGAGGAGGAGGAGGAGGAGGAGGAGGAGGCCCTGTTCCTGTGCTGTCGGGAAACCGTGCCCCTCTTTTCCGTGCCGTGCTCGGGCCTCCAGGAGGCGCGTGGCGGGCAGGAGCCGGGCCCGATCTTCGCGCTGCGAGAGCGCACGGCAACGCCTCCCTGGGCGCCTCGGCTCACGGCGCCCGCTGCCAGCTCGGGGTCGGCTCGGGCTGCCCGGCTCCCCGCTATAGCCGCTGCCCCCTCCGAGGCCTCAGCAGTCTTGCCGTGCAGGGGCGCGGCAGGGCCGTGCCGTGTGGGCGCGGCGGCGACCCCGCCGCGGGCTCTCGAGGCTGGACGCCCCCGGCGGCCCGGAGTCAGCCAGTATGGAACGATCCAGCGATCGAGAGGCCGCCGATCGTTCAGGGTTGAAGGATCCACGCGGTGTCAGAAGCCAGCGCCAGGGTCGTCACGACACAAGCCTGCCGTGGGCTGCGTGCTCGCGCGCTCTCTCTGCCGCCAAAGCCAGGATCCCCCCTCCTGCTTCATGTCGCCCAAGGCCCAGGATGGCCCACAAACGCTACAAGCCTTGGTCCTCGGATCTCGAGCCTCCCTCCTCCTCCTCCGCCCTGACTCTGGCCGCGGCCCGTCCCCCCAGTCTGCGGTGTGCGCTCCGGCCAGACCTCTCCGGCAGGGCTCTCGCGCCCGATCCCGCTCGAGGGGGGCGGCGGGGGGCGCGTCGCGGCTTTTCCTCACGGCCTTTTAAGCCCCCTTCCCCCCTCCTCCTCCTCCTCCTCCTCCTCCTCCTCCTCCTCCTCCTCCTCGTCCTCCTCCTCCAAGCCTAGCGTGCTTGCTGTTGCATCCCATATTTTCCGTTTCGCCCCTCGTTCTGCCAGCGCACCGTGAAGTGCACGGCGTCTGTTCGTCTGTCCCTCGGCGCCCCGGCCCGTCTTCGCAGGCCCTGGCGCCGGACACGGAGGAGGAGGAGGAGGAGGAGGAGGAGGAGGAGGAGGAGGAGGAGGAGGAGGAGGAGGAGGAGGAGGAGTCGAGGCGAAGCCAGGCGAGCCGATGCAGATCTGGACGCGTCGAGGCAGCTCGTGGGGCGCTGTGGCGCGGGGGTCGACGGGCAGCAGAGGTCGTGACGAGCCCCCTCGCGAGCGGGCGGCTCTCGCGCCACGAGGGGGGGCTCGGGCGGGGGCCCACGCTGCGAGAGGCCCGGGAGCGGCGGCAGGGGTCTCGGGCTGTGGAGGACGACCAACGGAGAGGAAGCATGCTGCCAAATGATTTCCAGACGTCTAGAACATGTGTGAAAACTGTTTTCAAAATGCAAAACAATGTTTTAAACACATTTCCTGGACCTTTTTTTCCGACATTTTGAGCACGTTTTTTTCATTCGATGATAGGACTGTTAGGGTGTCCATTGTCGTGGCATCCGCAAGTCTCGGGGAGAGGGCGTGTCGAGCTCTTGGCGCCTCGCTCGTCCCCACGAGCCCGTCCACGAAGGGCTCCTACAGCCACGACGCGGAATAGAAGGGCCGCCTTGGGCTCTGAAGGGGCTCTGGCTTCCGGTGCCGTGCCGTGGATCTCGGTCGGGGGACCTATGCGTGGCTGAGGCTCGCCGTGGCCAGAGAAATCCCTCTGTTCCTTGTCCAGCGTGCCTGAAGTCAGCGCGGTGACTGTGTCCCCACGAGTGCATCCAGCAACGGTGCCCACTGTAGGTTCGTGTCGTGCCGACGCGGCAACGACCCCGCCGCGGGCGTTCATGGTTGAACGCCGCCAGTGGCCCAGAACTGGCCGGCATGTAACGATCTGGCGATGGAGAAGCTGCCGATCGTTCAAGGTCGAACGACTCAGGCGGGTGTCAGCAACCAGCAGTCCATGTCGAGGCCGTCACGATACGAACCTGCCGTGGGCGACTTACCGTGCATAGGGAAGTGCAGGAGCAAGATGCCTCCACAAGAAACCCGTGTCTTGGCGTGGGCTTCCGCTGCAGCCTGGCGCACAGGGCCGCCACCGTATCGCCTGCCCGTTCCCCTCTCGCGTCTTCTTCGGTAGACCAGAAAGGGCTCCCCGCAAGGGGCGCTGCGAGTTGGCCCTTCTGGTGGACTCCCCGGGCTTCTGCTCGTGGCGGCGGGGAGGCGCGAAGCAGCCGGGCGTCCTTCACGGATCCTCCATAGGATACTGTATTTTTTGGCTCTTGGTTTTGGAGGCCTTTGGGGCTCTCCTGGGGCCCTCTTGGGGGCCTTCGGGTCCATCTTAAGACGACTTTGTAGGCCGTCCATCAAACAATGGGGGTTCCGCAGTTCGCGCCGCCCCGTCGGGGCACGACCATTCGTTCCTTGGGGCCCTCTTGGGACCAGGGAGGGCGTTTTGATAGCCCTGCTCAGCCCATCTTGGGGCTCTCTTGGCCGATCTTGGGGCGAGAAGCCCATACACGTTGAGAAACCATACCGACTATTTTTTGGCCTCAGTGGGGGATCCCTGGGAGGCTTCGAAGCCTCTCGGAGCCGTCTTGGAACAAAAGGCCTCGGGCCTCCTGGAGGCATGTTGGGCGCGACCTTCGTCCGACCTGGGCTATATTGCGCCATCTTGGAGGCCATGTTGCGAAGTCTGCAGCCATCTCGGAGCCGTCTTGAGCCCACACGTACTCTCTGACACATCGCGGGGGGGGTGAGGCGGCCAGACCCCGGGGAAGAGCAGGGAGATTGGGGCACATACGTGCTGAATGCGATCATACCACCGCCGTTTGCTTTTAGCATCTGGTTTGACTACTTTGTGTTCACGTTGGTTGCCTCCTCCTCGTTCGGGTCAGGGGCACTTCGCTCGTGGACTTGGACGCTTTAAGGCTACATCGGTGTACCTGCTTCGCTGGAATGAAAACTTCGTGTTCACGCTGTATGCCCCCCCAGGGGTGGATGCGTCGTCACGTGCATGTGTGAAAGCGTCTTAGCCAGTTCATATAAAGGAAATCCGTGCAGGCTTAGGATCAAGTCGGGCCTGTCCCTCTACAGGGGGAATATTCAAAAATAATCAACAAATAGTCTGGGGACTATTGAGTATTTTTTGAGTATTTTTTATTTCTCGTCCAAAATCCCCTTGTAGGGGGACAGGCCCGACCTAAGCTTAGGAGATCACGCGCGAATTTGCATAACAGCGTTGGTGGCGCTTGGCGAGCGCGCGCGTGGCCCTTCATGGAGTCATTTTACGGAGGCGGTGCCCGTTCCACGCGCGCGCGCGTGCTGGCCTTGGTGGCGGCCGGTGGTGCGCGAAGGGTAGTATTTGAGAGGGGCGGTGCGCCCGTTTCGAGCGCAGGCGTGGCCTGCATCGTCTTAGCTGGTAGGGAACATGTGCGCGCGCGCGTGCCACCCAGTGTAAGGTCCGTCGGGCAAAGGTTAAGCCGGGCGTGTCCCTCTACAGGGGGACTTTCAAGAAGTGCAAAACCATAGCCTGGGGACGATTTCTCTATTATTTTTGATCGCCTTTGAATATTTTTGTTTTTGTTTTTTCTCCACCGACTTAAGGAAAGTGCACTGCGACAGATCTGGACTGGTCCAGTCCAGTCTGGTCTGGTCGGGTCCAGTCCGGTCTGGTCTGGGGAAGTCTGTGTTTTGTTTTGGGGGGCTCGGGTTCAAACCCCTCCCCGAAGTAGGAATAATTGCAACTCGTGACACGTGAAACATGTACGCCCAGAGGGCTGGTGATATTCAGCCGAGCTGAGTTGAAACGAACTCGAGCTGAGTTGAGCTGAGCCATGCCCAGTTTCAGCTAAGCTGATCCAGTGAGCGGTTCGGGCAGCCAAGTTGAGCTGATGAGAGCGAAGCGACGCCAAGTCTTGACAGGCAGTGCTAGGCGAGGGCGGATGGTGGAGGTCTGGCACGGAAATCCAGGCCGCCCAGCTGGGGTCGTGCGGAATGGGTTTCGGTTTCGGCGGCTCGCGTCGCATCGCCGATGCATCGGTTACATTCGGCACACCACACAAGGAATTTTAGACGCGTCGTGTAACCCTACGAGTTTGTGCCCCAGTCAGCCCGATTGACCCGCCCTCTGAACTCTTCCTTTGGGCCGCAGATAAAAAAAACCCTACCAGCCCATCCTGAAGCGTTGCCCAGGCGAGTTGCCCTGATCAGGTATGTGGGGGAGCACGCAGTAGAATGAAGGCTGGAAAGCCGTCATACCCCAAGATGGGGAGGAGAGAGGAGGAAGCATACGAGGAGGAGGAGGAGGAGGAGGAGGACGAGGAGGAGGAGGAGGAGGAGGAGGAGGAGGAGGAGGAGGAGGAGGAAGAGGAGGAGGAGGAGAGGAGGAGGAGGAGGAGGAGGAGGAGGAGGAGGAGGAGGAGGGAGGAGGGAGGAGGGAGAAAGGGAGGAGGGAGGACGAGGATTAGGCA